TTTTGGATTTTTTTTTTTTTTTTGGGGGTGGGGGAGGCACTTCAGATTGTAAAAAAAAAGGGGAAGGGGATTGGTTTTAATCGTGGGGAAGAAGGGAAGGGGGCCGTTTTTATCTATGTATAGTGCGGTATATAACGCCGCTATACATATAGCGCTTTTATATACCGCGCTATGCATAGCTGCGATTTATAAAGGCGTTAAATATGTATAACGCTCTTTTAAAAAGCGTTATACCTTAACGTCCAAAACGTCCGTTAAGGTATAGCGCTCTTTAAAAGAGCGTTATATATAGTTAGGTAATTCTTTATTTTTACATGCATTTTCGTAATACTTGGCAAAAATAACCACAAGTGGGTTCTGGACTCATATAAGCACTTCAACGAAATAAAATGGAAGTTTCCGCTAGATATTTCTTAGATTTTGTGGTTTCCGCTAGATATTTCTTAGATTTTGTGGTTTCTGGCATGAAACAAGGGGGCCATCTATTAATACTCATTCCTTTCAAATTAGATCGGCTACTTTCCTTTTTAGTTTGTTCCAAAATAAGTGACACATTTCTAAATTAATAAATAATTTAATTTTAAACTCTTCATTTTACCCATTTTACCCTTAACAAGAAGTTTTTATAACCAAACAAATGTCATGACCCCACAAAGCTTTTACCTTAAGTTTTTAAGACCGCATATTTTAAAAGTCTACTTCTTTTTTCTTAAAGTTCGTGTCGAGTCAAACTAACTCATCTAAATTGAAATGGAGGGAGTATTATATATATGTAGATTGAAGTCGTGTATTTCTTAATTTAAAATTTTATAACTATTTTAAATTTTATTTTTTAATCAAATTATTTAATCGAGATCTTTTTTTAAAATTGAATTGAATTAATTTAAAATGGATCGAACCGAATTAATCCAAAATGAATCAAACTGATAAAATGTCCACCCATATTCAATTTCGTCACTAGTGGTCGATTTGCATTAAAAGCAGTGACACATGTTACTATCAAATCCTAGATCCACCTCTAAATTTGCAGATCATACATGACCCTTGAGTATATTTTCTTGTAGAGTGATGAAATGAGAATTTTGCAAATTCCTTTCAAAATTTTAGGGCATTACATACTGAAACAATATTCATAAATTTAATCGAATAAGATTAAACAAGAGCTTACTGTAACGAAACTATAAATGCATGCAGTATAGTTCACGGTTTGTGAGTTGTTCTAAGAAATTATTTTTGAGTTTCTTAGTATTGATAGTATATACAACTTGCCTTGATAGAAATTGATGGAAACACTTTACAAGTTGTTTGTGGGGTTCTATTCTGTTGCATCTCAAAAGTCTTTTTCTTTGAATCACTTTCACATTATCGGCAAGTGAATTGAAAGAATTGGTCAAAATTTATTTGTTTCATCCGTCTCGATTTATGTGATGATGTTTTTACGAACATGAAATTTAAAATAAAAATAATTTTTTAAAAACATATAGTATAAAACAAGTCACGCAATAAATCATTACAGTAAGAATAAAATAAAAAGATAACAACTGTTAGAAGTTTGGCCTTTTACTTGCAAGCAAGCTATCAATTCTCTTAGTTCACTTGCCAACCCCACAAACGACTTTGAGTCTTTCCCTTAACTTCTATGCCCTATATTGCGTTGAATGCTCTGATGTCTTATCAACAGAAAGACCTCAAAATTGAACTATTTTCAGAGTAATTATAATTTTTGAATTGTGGTTAATTCAGTAATCTCTCCTTATTTTTATCCGATGAAATTTATGATTTTTTTTCGTGTCCCCAAAATTTTCTAAACTTTGTTATTTTGTTCCATTCTTTGCTCAACTTGAGTCTTTTCTGACATGAATTAGATGCCAACATGATATGAGATGTCATGAAGTGCATAAATTCACTTAAAATTATATGTATGATTTCAAGTTATTATTTAAGCCCGCTTATTCCGAAATTTAGCCGCAACTCTATTTCCTTTTACTCAAATTCAACATTCTAAACAAAAAAAAAAAAAAAAAATAA